ACATCAAACATTAATGCACGTATTGCATTTCATTAAATGTCGTCACATCTGAAGTCAAACATTAATATTATAGACATTATAGTTAAAAAATTATAGACCTAATACAATTAGCTAGCAGCTTATTAATATTTTCCTAAAAACAGCAAAAAGAGTTGACAAATTAATTAGCTTCAATTTCTTCAAAACTAACAATAATGGCGCCAAAACCATCGCGCACGGCCATCCTCCTCTTCGCGGTCACCATTAAACTCGTAGCGAGCCATAGTACCGAAAAGAAGCACACTTGCACATGTATTAGAGAGCCCAAACACGACAACCATGTCGGGCATGATCACGGCAATGAGGTCGAACACGAAGAAGAAGAGGATTCTCCTAAGGAGATTTTGAAATACAAAGTAATAGCACTCGTAACGATATTAATTACGAGTGCAGTGGGTGTTTTCCTTCCAATACTAGGGAAAACAATCCCTGCTTTTCGGCCCGAAAGGGGCTTTTTTTATTTAATAAAATCGTTCGCAGCTGGGATTATTTTGAGTACTGCATTTATTCATATATTACCTGAGGTTTTTGAAAACCTAACGAGCCCCTGCCTCGGCGAGGACACTGTTTGGGAAAAATTCCCTTTCAGTGGCCTCGCCATCATGGTAGGAGCTCTTTTGACAATGATGATGGACTCATTTGCTACTCGACATTTCCGTAAGGGAGTAAGTGTTGAGGATCAAATTGGTGCTAAGGAGGATATGGATGCCCATGTTCATGCTCATGGTACTCTGGTGGACATGTTCCTGAAGGTCTTAACAAGGTTGAACAAATCAGATATAGAGTTGCTTCACAGGTAAATTTACTTAACTTTTCTTTTTACTTAGCTTTTCTTTATATAGCTCAAGACTCAAGTGGTTAAAAGTTTCCCGCCTAAAGATTATGTGATTGATTCTCGTCATCTAACCTTGTGTCTCTCTAAACATCAAAAAATCATTAAAAAAAATGTAATTAACCATGACTCTATCATCTATATGTTGTGAAAGTTTCTAGACAAATAAATAAATAAATAAATTGAATTTTTTAGCACACACAAATTAAAAGTTTCATGACAATCCTGAGTCACCTATTGCTCTTATATATTGACACCCTTAAGGCCTTGTTTGGTAATTAGTTGTTAGCCGATTGTATTAATTAATTTGACTAGCTGATTGTAAATAGCCGGTTGCATAGAAGTAGTTGGTAAATAGTTGTTTATTATAAATTGTTTCAGTATATTTAATACTCGAAACGCTAATTGTTCAAAAAACTCTTAAAATGAGCTTTTTCCAAATTAGTTTTTTTAAATAATCAAACCTCTAATAGTACTCAATAAGCTTAAAGCTTTCCAAAAAGCTCTTTACAATACCAAACAAGGACTAAGTGTCATAAAAACAAATTGTATACTCCTTTCGTATTTTTGCAACTGATTTTTTTTTTACTTTTGCACTATTCATCTTATCCATTTTGACTAATGTCAATAATTTATACATATGAAAAAATTGTATTGTGGTTTTGTAGGTACTTGTTGGAATAGCCTTGATAAATAGATTATGAATATTGTTCAATTATAATAATTTATACCTATTGATAATCAAATATATTGTTAATTAAACATCGGCACATGTTACATGGGTTAAACAGGGCTGAGCAAAACTACCCGAAAAACCGAAAACCCGAAAATCTGTTCCGTTACCGTTCCGAAAATTAGGGTACCCGATCCGATAACCATAACGGTTCGGGTAGCTGTTCCGATAATTTGTTATCGGGTATGATTATTGGGTATAATTTTAAATCTAACGGTTACCAATTCCAAACCAATAAACAATTTTTTGTTTTTTATCCTACTTTAATCTACTTTTTCCAAAATCTATACCTTTACTTTACTTCATAATCACTATAAAATATCAATGATTAGTAATATAATTAATAATTTGGTCAAGATCATGTGGTATTGTTGTTAATTAGTGTTAAAATATATCATAATAACTAATTTATTAAGTTTAATTATCACTATTGGATACTTTATTGAGTATCCGATAACCGTTTCGAAAATCCGGGTACCCAAAGTCTGGGTACTTGAACTTATTGGTTCGGTTTATGGATATCACTTTTAATGATATTGGTTATCGGGTACCCGAACCGTTAGTACTAATGATACGGGTACCCGTCCCATGCTCACCCCTAGTTAAACATACATTTCACTTAAAAACTTTTACGAGGAATAAATAAAAACGAAACTTAAATCAAGGAAGATTAAATGGCCGAAATAAACTTGGAAATACTTAAATTTGTATATAAAAGCTTCTAATAGAGTAATAGGTGATTTGACTTATGTTGTTGTTGTATGTATATCATTAGGTGCTGGAGATAGGCATTGTGGTTCATTCAGTCATTATAGGGCTATCAATGGGTACTTCCGATAGCCTCGAGTCCATCAAGTCTCTCATAGCAGCTCTATGTTTTCATCAATTCTTCGAGGGTATTGGACTAGGTGGATGCATTGTACAGGTACGTACATCTCCATTTCTTTTAAAGTAACGATAATGGTTTGTTTAATGGAAAAATCCATGACATTTGTTTCTCATAGAGGTATTTTCGTCAATAAATAAACAACTGTTTTATTACTGTGGGCCCCACTATTGAATAAAATTGAATAAAGTTATAGGTTTATTTACGAAAATGTAATGTGAGAAGCAAATTTCTCACTATGAGAAACTAGGGCATCCCTTTCACTTTCTCTCATTATTTTTTATTTTGACTTTGATGTTATCCGCCATATATTAACATTATATACTATAACTTTTTTTTGTGACTAACTATATATATACGTATACATTTACATATGTAGGCATCTTTTAAGTCCACATCTACTATATGTATGGCAGTGTTCTTTTCCCTCACAACTCCCTTAGGAATTGGCATAGGAATTGGAATAAGCAAAGTTTATGAGGAAAGTAGTCCAACAGCACTAATCGTTCAAGGGTTGTTGAACGCAGTTGCGGCCGGAATCTTGATTAACATGGCGCTCGTTAACCTTCTAGCGGAGGGCTTGATGAACCCTAAGGTGCAATCCAAAGCTAAGATCTTCTTTGGGGCCAATAGGCTTTGCTTCTTGGTGTTGCTGCTATGGCTATTATGGCTATATGGGCTTGATTTTGTGTCTTAATTTTTCGTCCTTTGTTTTTTTCATTGTGTGACTAGTACAAATACATACATTATTCAATTTGTTCCTCCAATTTTATTTGTTCTGTTTCTTTTATGTTGTATCCATTAAAAAATTTGAGTTGACAAACTTTACATCTTGTAAAGTTGTAACGTACCAAATAGTATTTTAATATGTCAATTTTATAACATGAAATCATATTCAATCTCATGGTCATTCAAGATAGCTCAAACTATTTGTTTCTCATCATAAATTTTCATTCACACCTAATGCCAACTTCCAGTGGCCTGTTAATGCGTGGGTAATAATGAAGTTTCCTTAAAAAAAAAAAAAAAGGTTGAGGGAAGAGATTATGTTCCATGGAAATTATATATACCAGTAGGTTGTTTTTCATTCTAAGTTATTATCACTTAAATGAAATGTAGTACTATTATCGTAATTTATTACTGACTACCAAACGAGTTGTAAAAGGTACTCGTTTTGCCAATTGCAGCCTTTTAAATAGCAAATTGCAACCTTAAACGTATTACTAATTAACTTTTTTTTTTTACTAATTAACTTGATAGTTGACATCCTTTCTCATTTTATCCAAAATTGTCTGAAATAATGACACCACCAAAATTTAAACGTAGAAACAACACACAAAGGATCATAATATCGAAAAACACTCTTTGAAGAAACAAAAACTCTTAAGGTATCATACACCCTGGACTACCATACGCATGATATACCGGTCAAAATACAAAAGTTATAGAGCAATGTATATAAATGTAAAATACACGAAATTAAAACTTTTCTAATGACAATGTGACATCAATCCCCACCTTAGCTACCTCCATCTTCCACTCTACTACCTTGCAAGATTTATTATCTATCTCACAACAACTTTTACAATGCATGTAGTACCACAAACTTGTTTGTCCCATCTTCGTTCTCATGTTTTGATTGGAAGATAACGGATTATGGATTATTGGTTTGAATTATTAAATTGAATTTTCCCAACATTCAAAATTTCAAGGTTCCTAGAAACAAATTAGATAGTGAAATACCCAAATGGATAAAATCTCTCTTCATTTTCCCGTACTACGCGTTTTCTGCCAACAAATCTCTTTCGGTCTTTCATTGCTCAGCTTCAAGAAGATTCGGAAGACTTACCACAAAACCAAAGAATGATAATAAAATTATGACTTCATTTATTCAAATTTTATTATGTTGGATATAAAAGTAAAACAATTACTACCTCCGTTAACTATTATGTGCAATAAAGGCGTATTATTTATGAGATAAAATATTTCTTTGTTGCACATAATAATTAACGGAGGTAGTATAGATAGTAGCATGTATTATTATAAATAATTACCTATATCACTTTGTTATATTTTCACATGACAATGTGATGACATCAACACAAACTATAATTTGTTGTCTTGTGCATAAACCAACGAAATGGTTCATGCTTTGCTTAAATACATAATTTAATAAATTAATAATTTTCATACTTAGACGTGTTTCGTTAAACTCGCTAAAATGTCTTTAAAAAAGAAAAGTTTGTATATCATACACTAATCTATTTTACATTTTTACGAGTACTAGTTTCAAACATCACTTCCCTAGTACATTACTACATTTACTTTAGTTTTATCTAGCTAGCTTTTTTTTTTCATCAACAACAAATTCTTTCATCTATAAATACACATTAGGGTTAACAACTTTGATCATATATATTTGTGACCTTCTCTCAACCACCAACACAATCTTCTCCGATCTCTTTGATTTCTTTCATAAAGAGAGAAAACTTGAAGTTAAGCTAGTAATTATGTCGAAGGGGAAGAGATCGTACTACCTTTTTATCTACTCTCTCTTAATCCTCCTCTTCTCGGCCTCTAAGGTGGCATGTGATTGCACTTGCGACCATGAAGAAATAACTAAAGATCAAAAATCGGACACGTTGAAATATAAACTTGGGGCAATTTTCACCATTTTGGTGGCAAGCGCCCTAGGAGTTTCTCTTCCTATAGTTGGAAAAAAAATTCCCGCCTTACACCCTAATAGCAATTTATTCTTCCTTATCAAGTCATTCGCGGCAGGTGTGATTTTATCCACAGGATTTATCCACATACTCCCTGATGCTTTTGACGATCTTACAAACCCTTGTCTTAAGGAAAACCCTTGGGGAAACTATCCCTTCACCGGGTTATTCGCTATGTTAGGGGGCATTGGAAGTTTAGCGATTGATTCTTTTGCCACCGGTTACTACCGTAGGGTACACGAGTCAGGAAAGTCTTTATCACCCACAAGTGTTAATGATGAGGAGATCGTTGGTGGCCAGGCCGGCCACGCCCACGTTCATGGTCATGGTCATGGTCATGGTCATGGTCATGGTCCGGTTGCTATCCCTCAAGGGTTGAATCAATTGGATCGTATTAGATATAAGGTTACTTCACAGGTACATATTTTCACGTACTTATAGTTATTACCATTCATATATGTAGTTAGTTGTTTCTAACATACAAGATAAATACTACCTCCGTTACATATTATGTGCAACGGTTAAACATTTTTCCTCTCTACTTTATGTCAAATCGTTGCAACTAATATGTAACGGAGGTAGTATTTAAGTTTAATTTGATGTTTTATTAAATGAAATGCTCTCTATTAGTTATCCTTTTATATGATCGGATTAGTGACTAATCAGTATTAAGTTTCTAATACTTCCTCCGTTCTATTAATATTGCAACAATGGACTTTTTGCACTATTCATCACTCTTGTTTGACCATATAATATGAGTTATACGTTAAGCAAAATATAGTCAAGTGGGATCTTGTTGGATTCGTCTCATTAAATACTTTCACAATATCAACTTTTTATAATTTTTATTCTTACACATTTATAGATATTTAGCATATAAAAGGTGTTTCGGGATGCGTAATTTCCTCCTTGTTGCAATATTAACAGAACGGAGAAAGTATAAGTTTTTGGATTTATATGGCATTTTTTATGTGTGCCCACATGACTATATATATATATATATATATATATATATATATATATATATATAAGGAAAACATCATATGTAGGAACAATATCATATATAGGAATTAATCTAATCCGTAGGATTAGATTAAAATAGATGGCTGAGATTAAAACAATAAACAAAACCCAAAACCCCCTTCTTTTTTTTTCTTTGTTCTCTTCCTCACACGATTTTTTCTCCACTCTTCCTCACAAGGTTTTCTCTCTCCTCACACGACCTCCCAAAATCAAACTACGGTACGTTTGTTTCGATTTTGTTCGCTGTTCTTTGATTTTTTATTTGTTCGATTTTGTTCAATTTTAGTTCGATTTTGTTCGATTTTTGTTCGAATTTTAATCTGTTCAATTTTTGTATGATTTTGTTGGATTTTTTCAGTTTTTTTTTAGTTGATTTTTTCAATTTTTTTCCCATCGATTTTTCTCTGTTTTTTTTACTCAATTTTTTCTATTTTTCCTCCATATTTTCTCGATATTTTTCAATTCTTTTCCTCCATATTTTCTCTATTTTTCCTCCATATTTTCTCGACTTTTTTTTTTATTTTTAACTGATTTTCTTATATGAAGAATTAAGGAATTAAGGGTTTTTATGGAGGAGATTTTTTTTTAGGGGTTTCGAGGGTAGGGGTTTGGTGGTTTAAGGGTGAAAGTTCGGTGATTTAGGGGGTAGGGGCAAGAAGGCTGATGTTGACGCTGGAGAGGGGGTCTTGGGTGGGGATGGGAGGGGCCTAGTGGCGGATCCACGATTTCGGATTAAGGGTAGCACTAAACGCACGCTAGAAAAATAAAAGGGAAAAAAACAATATACACTTACGAACTTGAAACTCAAATTAAATTTAAGTTGGTATAAATCATCAAAGTTAAAGTTTTTGTATAATGTATTGCGATTATGTATAAAATGTATTGCGATTATGTATAAAATGTTACCGTCAAATTCACCCATCTATACATTTTGCTATGAGTTGTAAAATTATGTACACCATACTAGTTATCAAAAATTCAAAATGTGTACTTGGTATTACAATCAAATAAAAGTAGTCAAATTAATAAGATATTACTAATTTTCTTCACATATTACAATCAAATAAAAGTAGTCAAATTAATAAGATATTACTAATTTTCTTCACAAACGAATTATCTATTTATATTTATACATATTTTATGGGAGTTAGACCCTGTTCTTTTCACCTTAATTTTGCTGAAGTGAAATTATTTTTACTGAACTAAAATTATTTTTGATGAACTGAAAATTATTTTTTTTATTTTTACTAATTTTCTATAATAATTCTTCTTTAAGAAAACTTATTTTTACTGAACCGAACTTCTTTTTACTGAACTGAAATTATTTTTGCTGAATTCTTTTTACTAAACTGAAATTATTTTTACTTAATATTATTTTATAAGGTGAATAGAACAGGGACTTATTTTTATCTAATGTATTTTAACATAAATGTCAAGAAACTAATAAAGTGGAAGTAATCTGGAAAAAAAAATCAAATTTTGATGGAATTCTTTTTATCTAATCTATTTGAATATAAATGTGTAGAAAGAGGAAAAATATTTGGGGTTGAAAACAAAATAATAAAGCATGAATATTGTAGTTTTTTTTTTATTTTAAATAAATCAAAGACTTAGAATATACAAAAAATTAAAAAAAAAATTAAAAAAATTGAGGGATTTATACATTTTTTTTTCGGGGGTAGCACGTGCCCCCCGAGTTACAATATAGATCCGCCCGTCGAGGGGGCCGAGCTGGTGGGGCTGGGGTGGTTTGTGGGTGGGGGATTTCTTGGGTTTTTTTACTTTTTTATACGTGTCACTTAAACAAAAAATAATAATTTAATTCTTTGACCGGTCACTTTGGATCATTTTGAGTGACTAACCCCCAAAGTTCGAATTATTTCCAAATAATTCAAAGTTGGAATTATTTTGAGGGAACGGGCCAAAATTGGTGTGTGTGTGTATATATATATATATATATATAGAAATAAAAAAGAGTAGTTAAATATATAATCATGTATAACTCTTTTTACTAAGGAAATAACATTGTATAATATTACTCCCTCCGTTTTTAAATACTTGCTTTACTTTCCTTTTTCGGCCGTTTTTAAATACTTGCTCTATTTCCTTATTTGGAAAGTTTTTACAATATTTAACTAATTTCTCACACCTAGTGGGCCCATCATATATTTCTCTCCTCCAATCCTCTCCACTACTTTTTTTTTTTTTACAATTTTTTATTCTTCAACTTACCCTACTACCTCCATATATTATTATTTTCTCCAAGTTCTCCTAAAACTCTACGCATGGAGAAATGGAGCAAGTATTTAAAAACGGATGGAGTATATCCTAGAAGCTTCTATGTAAGGGAAATAGTTCTTGAGAAGTTGCCACATGTCCATAGTGGTTTCGGCTTTAGTAATTATGGGGTTAATTACTTGTAATGGCGAAGGATGTATATAACCATAACAATCTATAGATGAACAACAAAACAATGTAAATGAACAATGACCCAAATGATCTTAAAGTATACTTTCTTAGAGCAAAACAAAGAGATAATTAATTTTACAATTTTAATTCTATAAAAAGTGTTGTTTTACCGTGTTCATACTATAGAAAGTATTGTTCATTCTAGGCCATATTTTATTAGTGATGAAAAGACTTGTATTATGCTAGGTCACATTTTTGGGCTTTGTTTATGAAGTGCGCTATACACACTTGCTATGGTCTTCTGATTATCTTGTAATGGTTTCAGGTTTTTGTTTTTGTTTTTTTTTCTTCTTTATATTGAGGGTCTGACGGCTTATTCTCATACATTGAACTTTTCTTATAAAACATTCATTTCAGTTTTCAGTTCAGTTGAGTTGAGTTGAGTTCAGTCAATGAGAACAGACCCTGATTCTTACTTTGTGAAACTCGATGATTGTAACATATATAACTATATAAGGTTCTTGAATCATAATTTTGAGTCATTGATTATACTAATATACTCTCTGGGTATGTTGACTTAAAAATAAGGGGTGCAAGTTAAAAAGAGAGATGTTATAATTAATGAGTTGTTTGTTGACTTACATTGTAGCTTATTCATTCTTTAGATGGTAGCAATGCAAGAGGATAAATATGCTCGGCCTCTAGTTTCTTTCGTGAGGCAAGGTCTGGGTCCGTCATTTATAACTGAGGGCTGGGATTCACAAGGAACACAATTGTTTGAGTTACTTGCTGTGAGAGTGCACATGCGCCCGATCAAGGAGGTTACCGCTATGTCCTCGCTTTCACATCTTGAAGTATATGGCCGTATTGTACTCATCGATGAACTTGGTAACAAATTTTATCTATTTAAACGAAGAAAATCTAAGGCAAAGTCTGTTTTTCTACATAATGACGCACTTGACAGCACAGTAATTCTTCACAATTTTGATCTTGAAAGTCCTCGTTGTCTACCTAGTAAATTTTGCTTGAAATTTCATCTCAAAGATAAGCACCAAAATATCGTAATTGTTAAGGACTGCAAACTAATAGATTGTACTCAAGGGGTCACTTATGACAGAATCCATACCTTTTGCTTCCGCAGAGAACAAAAGTCGGAACAAGACTCTCATTGCCTACCTTCGGTTAGTGTGGACTATGCTATATTTCGTTGTGCACTCTTAGCCTGTGTGTCTATTGAACTTGTAGATACTGCTACTCGTATTGAAGGTAGAAATAATACAACTGATGAAAGTGATTTTGTACCGGCTAAAGTTTTTGGTAGGATTACTTCTACTACTGAGACAAGTGATATGACATGTATTAGACGTTTGCTTTTTGATGAGACAGACAAGTTATTTTTTGAGGCTTCCAATAAGTTATCTACCTTTTCTGTCCCAAGTTATTCCTTGCTGGAGATCCAAGTAAACGTGGAGGTTGAGGGTGAAAGATTTTGCGATACGGTCAAGTTTAAACCATATTCATGTTTCGGTGGCCCTTATTGTGTAAATATTCATGGGAAATCATGTCGCATTCGAGTGTTTGCACATTTTGGTCATGCAAGAGATATCCTTTCTGAATATCCAATGTATGAGTATTATGATGGTAAAAGAATGTCCAATGAAAGATCTGAAGATAAAAGGATCAACCGCAAGAGGTCAAGAGGCCTTACAATCCAAAAGGCAAACCAGGTTTGTGCAGCACATATACATTGTTGAATTGTGTACTCTGTTTTGTATTAAACCTAACCTCTTTGTTTGTTTGTTTGTTTTTTTGTTACAGCAAGCACAGCTATTGGAAGCCTTGAACAATATTGAGTGGTAAACACATGTTAATTTTGAGTCACATGCTCTTTGCTTTTAGGAAAAAAAAAATTCTGCATATTAATCATATTATGACCTTTTTGCAGTCTTTCATAAATATAACGACCTTTAAATTATCCCAAAATATTACGACCTTTAAATTATCCCGAAATATTACGACCTCTGACCCTGAACTTCCATGAATTGGATAAAAAAAATCGGTAACCTGATTAAAAGGTTACCTTAAGACACGTGTCACATTGTGATAGGTTAGAAATTTTTATTTTAATTTTTTTTGCAAAAAATTGATTTTAAATTAAAAAATAAAGATAAAAAAAAAAAAAAAAAAAAAAAAAAAAAAACCCTTCCCCTTTTGTTTCTTCAGTTTCGGGGGAGGGGATGGGTTCTTGTGTGAGTTTGGGGAAGGGTGAGGGACTTGGGTGGGGTGGGAATGGGAATGGGAATGGGGATGATAGGACGATGGTGGTAGAATGGTGTGTTTTATTTTATTTTTTATCGTATTTATGTTTTTATTATTAAAATCATAATTTTTAAATATGAAAATTGTATATAAGAGTACTTGACCAATTAAAAAGTGACACGTGTTACTCATAGCCTTTTTAGCGGGTCAGTAACCGGTAACATCCTATTTATGGAAGATCAGGGTCAAAGGTCATAATATTCTGAGATTATTAAGAAGTCTTATATTTATGGAAGACCGCTGAAGACAATTTTTCCTTGCTTTTATCAGCGAGGATTGTGTTATGAATGTCTAAGGGCCTGTTCTTTTTAGCAGAGAACAACTGAATTGAACTGAAAATAAGGTGAAGTGATGAGGCCCTAAGTGAGATACATTTAGTTATATCTCCTATAACCATAGAAATATGTGTTTTGTGCTTTTTTTATATTTAATTTTGTACATATATTTAAAGTTATAAGATATGTCATTTGTTTTCTCCGATCCAGGTATGTATCAGAGTCAAAAGATTGGATAGAAATGATGGAGATTTTCTCAATTTCTATTTTTTCTTATGGTGTGGACGGCCTTCGTTCAGGGGTGAAGGGAAAAATCCTTGTTTCAGATGAATACCAAGAATTTATTATCTTTGATGGATGCAAGGAGTCTGACATCTTACATTCTCATGAAACTAGTCTAAAATTAAAAGGATCTCCAAGGTGTTACACTGGTGAAGATCTTTCAATAATCCTTAGGCTGGAGGATGGCAAGGGACGTAATATTTGCTCAGGGAGTGCGTGGTATAATTTCACCAACGTTGGTTTGTTCCTTAATACTCGAATTTGTTCAATTGTTTGTGGTATACATGGTTTTGCAGCTCTACATTATACAATATTCAGCGATGCTATACAAGCTAAGTTAAGGTTTACATTGATGGCGTCGGGCTCATCATGTGGGAATTATAAGGTTTATGGGAGGATTAATACAAGGTACAGCAACTTTAGATACTTAACCCATTATGAGAAGAAGTACTATGAGAGTAGTTTGTTTGAAAAGGGTGAATCAGAGGTTGAGGAGGTAACCCTCGGTGAGATACCACTGTCAAAATCCGTGGTTGCTGTGCCACTAAACGCGTCACTCATTGTGTTAGCAAACTTGTGTGTGCTTTGTGATGGTGGACGGCTTGAGACCTTAGAGTATAAGCAAACATTTGAGCCAGAGAAGCCGAAATCCATGTATGATGAATTCCAAGGGTCGAATTATTGTCTACGAGTGTATGTGGATTGGACCAGGTTCCCTCCCTATGATCCCAGATATTGCAGCTTCATAGACACTTAATAATCATCATGTATTGTTTTCTCATTACAAGATTCACATGAGAAATGAGTAATATTATTTCTTCAATCTCCATCCCATTTCAGCTGTATAATTTTATTTAATAACTACTAAAAACTGAAGTTGCAATTAGCATTTACACCGTATAATTTCCCTCTCTTTAAGGATTAGTATGAGTATATTATTAATGATACATTACAATATTTTTTACTCTTACAAAGGGGAATTAATAAATATATATAATACATACTACCCCATATATTGATGTATAAATTGGCTGCATAATACATCAAGCTGTATGTAGTAACAATGAAACACTGATTTCTCTTACCTTTAGTAGGATGTAAATTTAGCAGGGTGTAAATTTAATTTGCTCAGGTAAAAGATTCTAAAACAGTATGCAAAACTCTTTTGTATAGAAAGCGAGCTGAGATTCAGGCTCGAGCTTATGTCTTGAGATTATCGGACATTGCACAAGGAATGGCGTGTGTAATGCCCTATGTGTGGGGAGGGGGAGGAGACTACAGCACACATGATTTTGGAGTGTCCTGCTGCTAGCTCCATCTGGAGACATTCTGTGCTTCGTCTTGATACAAGACAGGTGGATATGGGTAGCTTTAGGGGCTGGTGTTGCTTGATGCAAGATAAATACAAAGACTCGAAATGGTGGGATGTGTTTTGGAGCATAGCTTGGGGAATTTGGCGTAAGCGAAATATGTGGATTTTTGAGAAAAAAGAGAGAAGGGAGTCTGACATTCTTCATAAGGCTATGGGTTTGATTGGAGAGTATGAGGAAGCAAATTTAAGGGAGAACAGTGTAAGTCAGGGGCTGCAATGTTCCTCGGTGTGGAAAGCTCCTGCTGCTGGTCTGTATAAGCTGAATACAGACGCAGCTTTCCACGGCCAGATTTTGGGGATAGGTGGAGTGTTAAGGGACGACTCTGGAGCTGCTGTTGTAGCTTATTGCTCGACTAAAAAAGGCAGTTTCGCTGTTGATGTGGGTGAGGCTGTCGCAATGAGAGCAAGCTTCCGAATTGCTATGGAAGCGGGGTTCAGCAAGTTTATACTTGAGACCGATAATCTTAAGCTTTATCACCATATGAAGAAGGGTCTCACACCTCCATGTGCGTTTGGGAATGTGGTAAGGGATATCTTGTTACTGTCCCGTGGTTGTCAGTGCATTTCATTCTCGTTCGTGAGAAGGACGGGTAATGTTGTTGCTCATTGCTTAGCAAACATGAGTTTTAAGTTTAGTGAGTATAGAGTTTGGCTTGAAGATACCCCTGTTGAGATACAGGGTGCTATTTGTAATGATACTGCTCTTTTGATTGTTTAATAATATTCCTAAGCGGAGGTTTTGTCAAAAAGGAATGGCGTGTGTAGCTAGAATATCTACGTAGTAGCAGCTTTAGCTGTCTCAGTCCGAAGAACGACTGCCTGCCCTAACAAACACAATTGCTTTAGGTTCATCAATTGTGAGGTAGAGCTTTTCATTGGACTGGGGGCCCATGAAAAGCTCTGATCTGACCCATTTATAAGTGGGCCAAGCCGTCCAATAATTAAATTGGCCGGGCCTTTAATGGGTTAACCAATTATGGATCCTTAACGGGCAGAGCCGGGCCCTAATAAGGCCTTTAAATTTTTTTAATGAAAAATACTAGAATTTTTTTGATGCAAAGCCGGGGCAGGAAATTAGATAAAAACAAAGTCAAAAGGTTACACGATAGTTAAGGAGGTTTATCCTCCCATATTACATCATGAACACAGTCAGGAGGTTCACTTAAAATTACAACCACAGTGCCTCTATCTGAGGACTTTCTACAACTTTTTGCTAAGAGGTCAGCTACTTTGTTAGAATTCCTGCATTCATGGTATAACTTCGCTGATCGTAGCCTCTCAAACTGGTCCCTGCAAGATTTCAGAACGTTCCAGTTAGCATCTTTGACCACCATTGCATCCTGTATAAGCTCCACCACTTGCTTCGAATATGAAGAAATTTCAAGCCTGTTCCACCCTTTTTCTACTGCAATTTGCAGACCAGCCAAGATAGCTAGCAATTCTCCCATAATGACATACTTAACCCGACATTTTTGCTGGAAACCAAGAATCCATGTACCTGAAAAATAACGAAAGACACCAGCTATACCAGCCTGTAGGGAATATTTCAAGCGTTAATCCCTAGCTTGAACCCCACTGTGATCATACACTAAAGTACGGTGGCGTCCCAAGGGAAAGAAGATAGAGCAAAAGAGTCGTCAACAAGTTTTTTAGGAACTTGTAAACCGTTCACGAGGTGAAGGTTACACCCCCTTAACGATCCAAGAGATCGTCAACTCCATAAGGTCTTGAACCAAATAGAGTTTGGGGATGAAGGTACAAATCCAACCTAAAAGAGATTGAACCTGCCCTAATAATAGGCCTCTACTTTATTCTGATCGTATTCATGTGCGCTTTCTGACTAACTACAATCAATAGGATTAACCCTAAACCTATTTAATCTATGTTGGTTGAATATTAATGCACAAATAAATCTATTATTGGCGATCACTTGAATTATAATCATATTAACCCTAACAAGATTATTAATTATCTTATTAAGCGTGATTACAAGTACAAATTCCCTTTAAACATGCATAAAAGGCGTGATCAAGCAATAACAATAAAATATAATCAAGCAACATAATAATAATCAAATTATATATATAAGTTATCCGCCAATTAACAAATAACATGAAATAATTCGTAAATTAACAAATTACGTAAAACAATTCGTAAATTAACAAATTACGTTAAATTATATAATTCGACACAACAATAATCATAATCATAATCATAATTATCATAATCATGTTCATGTTAAAGTATAATAATAGCAAGATCCTAGGCATGATACTAACAAGATTAATAACAAACCAGGTTAGCACCAGACGCTGACGTTACACCAGGCGCTTATGCTGGCGTTTGACACTGACTAAGTTTTTGTCGCGTTTTCTTAAAATCAGATAGAAATTCCCGTATAGGAGGATAAAATCGTATTTTCCTCAAAAACGTTCTTTTATTCTGATTAAAACTCTAAAAAGTCAACAAAAGTCAATTTATCAATGCTAATTGAATTAGGAATGAAAAGAACCTTCTAGAAGAATCTAGAAGACTAAAACCATTCTTAAGTGCATTAGGAATGATAAATCTATATTAGGCCCTTCTCTAGATCATTGGGCCGCATATAAGGCTCAAACCAGGCCCAGTTCGATAATTTGGCCATAACTTCCTCAATATTCATCGGAATTGGGCTTATAATATATCGTTGGAAAGCTCTTTTCAAGCCCCATCAAACTACACTACTATTGGACCCATATCATGGACCAACCAAAATGGATTGGCTGTTTTCTTTAAAATAGGTTTTCAAAAACAGAGAGAAGAGAAAAGAAATTAAAACTATCCGCAACGCTAAACTTTCCACACTTTCACTTCATTCGATTATGATTCGACGTGAAAGGTACTCATCATTGGGTTTGGTTTTGGGGAGACACAAATGGGTGTCTACACAACCCATTCACCCTCAGAGGAGAAGGACGCATCACAGTTCAGCTTGAAGTTTGGTTGCAAAGGAGGAAGCCAGCAGGAAGAGGTAGAATTAGGAGTTGAAACACCCGAGCATATCATTAGGGAGGTATGGAATTCCCAAGCTAAAGCTTGGGTCTCTCTAAGGGATTTCTCACGGGCTTGGTTTCTTTGGTTAAAGAGACAGTCATTACGGATAAGCCACAACTTCCAGAGAATGAAGAAGAAGAAAGTTTGCCAAGGGAGCAAAGTGTCAGAAGAAGAAGGGGGGTTATGGGTCAGATTTGAGAAAAGCCAATCTTGGAGGGTAAGAGAAAAGAAAGGAGGTGGCATATGGAGAAGCTCCCAAATTCCTTTTGCTTGTTCACAATCCCTAAGAACATGGAGAGAGTTTTCAGGGATGTCTTGAAAGTGAGCACAAGCATTTGAGGAGATGATTCTTCTTTTAAAGAGAGTGACCCTGTGAGGTAATCTATCCACAAAACACAACCAGATGAAAATTTTTATTTTTGGGGCAGAATTAATAGCCCAAATCCAATCCATTTTCCTGCTTTCACCAAAATCATTTTGAAACAAGTTTAAAGCTTTTTTAAAATCAAACTTTCCCTTATCAGTGAGGGTAGAAAAGATGAAGTCTTGGCATCCTTGGGTATGGTCCGGGATAGGAACACTCTTATAAGTACTGACAATATTTTCAGGAAGAACAAAGGAAAGCTTTGAGAAATCCCATTGCCCATTTGTAATACACTCCTCCAACATCATGTCCTCTTCTTCTTTTAAAAGGGGGCCTTGAATAAGGCTTCTAAGAGAAACCGAACCCACCCAATTATCAGACCAAGCAAAAATATCCATCCCATTTCCCACCCCCCATTGAATACAAGCCTTAAACAAATCTCAAACCTTTCCCATACTATTCCAGAGATGAGACCCAGCAGAAAAAGCTCTAAATTGATTATTAGGTTTAGAGTATTTGTCTTTTAAAACTTGAACAGCAAGGTTGCCCTCCTGATTCGACGTCCTCCACCAAAGTTTCAATAAGTGAGCTTTATTCAAGGCCTTAAAGCATCTGATACCCAGCCCCCCACTCTCCTTAGGTCTAGCAATGTGATCCCACCCCACCAAATGGAGACCTCTAGAATTTTCACCCTTCCCCCATAAGAACTTAGCCAAGGAACTATTAAGGGAATTCAAAAGAGAGCAGGGCATAAGCATGCATTGCATATAATAGTTGGGGAGGGTATTTAAGGTGGCTGAAACAAGGCATGACCTACCAACTTTGGATAATATAGCAGCTTTCCAGCTATCTAGTTTCTTGAGAATTTTGTCACAAATTAACTTAACTCTATTCTTGGAAGGTCTACTACTAGAGATGGGGAAACCAAGGTAAGGGCTTAAGTCATCAGTCTCTCTAAAGCTCGTAGCATCACAGAAGAGATTTCTATCATTCTGAGAAGTATTTCTAGAGAACAGAACTCTACTCTTAAGCACACTAATGGTTTGACTGGAAAAAGCACAAAAAGTATCAAAGGTGTCCTTAAGAGAAAGAATGTTTTCAAGAGAAGTCTCCCCAAAAAGAAGAATATCATCAGCAAAAAGATGGGAAATGGGGACTTGTTTACTACCCATACCAAAAGGAGACCAGGTTTTCCTATCTACCTCCCTATGGATCAACTGAGAAAGAATCTCCATACATATGCTGAATAATTAAGTAGGGGGAGAGGGGGTCACCTTGACGAATGCCTCTAGAGGGATTAAAATTCTCAGTAGGAATACCATTAACTAAGACAGAAGAAGTGACTGAAGAAACACAAGTCATAATGAGCTCAATTGAAGGGAGGTCTAAGCCAAAGAAAACTAAGGCATTTCTCAAGAAAACCCACTCAATTTAATCATAAGCCTTCTCCAAATCCAATTTAAGGATAAACCAACCCTTTTTCCCCTTTCTTTTCTTCATCGAGTGTAAAACCTCATTAACCACAATCACATTTGTCTTGATGCCTCTCCCTGGGAGGAAGCTATTTTGGTTAGGAGAGATCCTAGAAGGAAGAAAACCACGAAGTCTATTGGCAATGATCTTAGTCACTATCTTATACACAGTGTTGCAGGGACTTATAGGTCTGAATTGGGAGATAGAAGTAGGCTCAGAGATCTTGGGAATGATGGCTATCAGGGTTTTATTAATGCTCGCGGGGATAGCTTTGTCCTCATAGATATTCCTAATGAAAGAAGTAAGGTCAAGGTTGATAGTGTCCCAAAATTTCTTGTAGAAAAAAGGGTGGTAACCATCTGAACCCATCAGAATGTCGAGTCAGGGAATTCATGGTATTCTTCAGGTATTTTCTCCCCCCAAAAAATTTTTTATTTCCAATATTTATGCTAGCTCGAAATTTCGTGTTAGAATACCATGAAAAATACTAGAATTTTACGCATACTTTCCCTGCGCATGTGTAGTCAGTTTTTATAACTTTTTCATCATATTTGTTTGGAAAATTTGCAAACAAGTACCTTTTTCTTACACTTTCTTAAAAATAACTACTTTTTTTTTTTTTTGCAAATAACTACCTTTATCTTAAATTTTTTTAAAAAACACTACCTGGACTTGTTTGGCATCAGTTTTGGTTTTCAGTTTCCTTTTGTTTGAAAACCAAAAACAGGAAACAAGAAAAAGGTGTTTCCACTTTTCTGTTGTTAGTTTTCAAAATTATCATAATTTTAATGAGTTTATATAATTTTTGATTCATTATGGGACTCATATCATATACTTTTTTTTAAAAAAAAAAACTAAAAAACAGAAAACCACAACAATGCCAAACGAACCCTTAGTTTTAATTTTGTTTTAAAAGCACTACCTTTTAACGGAAACCCTAACGGTTTCCGTTAAATCCCACCCCTCTCCTCGTTAGCCACCCTCCTCCCCCCTGCCGGCAGCCGGTACCGGAAGCTTCGATTGGCGCCAGCGACCCCACCCCCTTCACTTTACCCCACCCACAACGCCCACCCGCCTCCATTTCCCCCACCCAAGACACCCTCCCTCATCCCCTTTCCCCCTTTTTTTGCCACGGCCACCACCCCAAAGTCGTCGGAAACCCCCTCAACTTCCCCTTACTTGAATTATCTATATTCCCCCTATCATTCCCCCTCATCCCTTTGAAATGACTCCAAAACACGGAGGGAGTAGCTTGTTTTGTGGCTATATGGGATACTAGAGGTTATTCCCTCCGTAATTTTTTAAGTGTTACACTTTGACCGGCACATAGTTTTAGACAATTTAATTGACTTAAATAAAATAAGCGGTAAGTGGGGTAGTTGGAGTATTAAAAATTTGAAAAAGAAAGATAGTGGGGTTAATAGTTTATTGAAAAGTAATGAATGTGAGAGGAGAAATATAATAAAAAAGTATTAGTGGGTTTGGGTGGGGACCATGAGAGGAGAGATATATAATATTTTAATGTAGCTTTTTGCCAAAAAAAGAAGTGTAACACTTATTTAAAACACGGCCGGGTTTGGTAAGTGTAACACTTAAAAAGACACGGAGAAAGTATGATAAGTTTGTAAGTTTTGGTCTGATATGTTCTCCCAAGGCCTATTGTCTTTAGCGGCGGATATTGATCGTTATTAATATGTTCCCGAGCCATTTAAAAAAAAAGGCACCAACCTAATCAATCAATTGGCTTCTCGGAAAACACCAGGGCAGGGCCGGCCCGGAGGGGTAGGCCTCGAGTGCGACCGCCTAGTACCCATGTCAAAAAGAGGCCCAAAAATAAATAAATAAATAAAATCAGTTTGCATAGCTATAGAATTTTAGTTTTTACTCGTTAAAAAAAAAACTACTTTTTAAAAAGATAATTACTGCATTTAGTTAGCAATTAACATTAAATTACTTAGATTTCAATTAGGTGGAGACTGAAATCTCATTGCATATTCAAACTTATCTCCCTAAGGAGACTAACAAATAATACCATCACCACATCTGGTCGTTGTAGCGCTTCCATCCACAAAATGCAATATAGCCTTTCACTTCTTCTTCTAGACTTCCGGTTTCTATGAGTATTTGCTCCAAAATATTAATCTTTTCAATTACACCGTTTCATATTTATTCAATTACCGAAAATGTTATGCAAACTCTCCAGTATTGTGTATGGAGACTTACTATTCAAATAATGTAAGCTATTTTCATTGTCTTTTATTTAAAGCTATTGCGACTGTCAAAAAAATTGTTACGTAAAGGGCCTTTTTTGACATTATGCTCAGGGCCCATAAATTTCTAGGAACGGGGGTGAAAAACTCAAACTTGGATAAGAATATACACCTGATTATATGTAGCTCTACGTATACATCAACTACATTGATTACTACATATGATATATATTTATAGTGTATAGCTCTACTCCTAGCTAGCTAGCTTAATTCCTTGCTTGATTGGCTTATAAATATTTACATTTATTATTATTGACCATATCAGAAGAAATTTGCTAATTGATTACTTAGAAAAAATGACATCAAACACAAGGAACATAGTATGACATAACTATGTTGTGGTTCACAAGGAACATAGTATGACATAACTATGTTGTGGTTAAAAACTCCTTCATGTCTAAATTTGAGGTATAGAAGTAGATCTTAAAATGTGATGACTACCTAATCTGTAAACACAATGAACTACCATAGTTAACATGTCACTACCTAATCTGTAATCGCCTAATAAATTATATCAGAACCACCAAAGGGCAGCACCGCTTTCCTGGTTGAGCATTAAGAAAAGCAGGTAGCGCCACCCTTTAGTGGCCTTGATATATATAATCAATTAATCATGTATATATGGTCATGGAATGCCTAAATAAAATAAAAACACACATGTCTCATTGTTGACAACGCAGCGCTGGTGGCTAGCTAGTCGTCAAAACCGTTAGATCGAGGCTGGTTGTTGGTGACTTGGTGCAACGGTGGTTGGTGTTTCTAGATTTTCTAACAATTTTGGTGGCCATTGGAAGAATTTAAAGCTATTAACCATGGGGCCAGGCCAGGACCAAGTTCGAGCAAAAAAAACAAAAGAAAAATGTCGCAATAAAACCTGCTCTTTCAAGCCAATTCAAAGCATGCCAAAATTTTAACCAATTATTATGGGTTGTCCAAAATTCAAAAATAAAAATAATTTAAGTTTTTTTTTTTTTGACGGGAAAAGTAATTTAAGTTAAAAGAGTTCTATATTCCAATAAGATTATTTTTAAATTAAATTCAATAGCGACACAACTTCCTAGGCACAACCAATTTTGCTTGGACTTACAACTCGGGCATGCGACCGCTTGGAGCATTTAAAGGTAATTTTCCACCCCTCTCCCCTTCCTAACCCTAAAACACCTCTACATAAGGGTTTTTGAGGGTGGATGTAAAAGGAGGGGGAGGGATTTTGGGGTTGGGTAAAGGGAGGTGGAGGGGTTTCAAGATTGTAGGTTGAGGAGTGGCAACAACTTGTGGGTGGGGAGCGAATACAATCTAAAATTCAAATTATTTAAATATAAGTGGGATTATTTAAAGAGAAAATGTGAAGGTTTGGACCATTGTCACCAAATTTTCCTTTTTAATTCTTACAATGCAAGCTTTGCTCAGTTAATTAAAACAAGAAATTTTACTAAATCAATTTGCTCAATTCATCACCAAATTACCACAGATTGTACAAACGAATGAAGGTGCTATTGTTTGTACACGGTGCATGAGCTTGCCAAATAATATACTTTGGACAAAAAAAAATAATACGGAGCACTTATTTGTGATGATCTAATCTTTTTTTTTTTTTCTTTTGAAGGAAGATGATCTAATCTTTTAGATGAAAAATTCAGATATATATATATATATATATATATATATATATATATATATATGGTACATCATACAGAGTACAAAAATATATGTAGCTCATCACCCGATTACACTCAAAAAAAAAAAAATTAGAGGTAAAAATCAATATAATCAGTGATCACGTCACAAAAATGTTTAAAGTCATGGTAAAAAAATTAAGCCCATATAGCTAAGACAGCCATAAAACCAGCACCAAGTAGCAAGGTAAGATTTGCTCCAAAGAAAAGTCTAGTGTTGTTTTGAACCTTAGGGTTCATAAAATCTTGAGCTAGAAGATCTACAAGTGCCATGTAAATCAAAATTCCGGCCGCCACCGCATCTAGCAACCCTTGAACAATAAGAGCTGTTGGACTACTTTCATCATAGACATTAGATATTCCGATTCCGATTGCAATTCCTACCGGAGTTGTAAGGGAGAAGAACAATGCCATGCACAACGTAGATGCTGACTTGAAAGCTGCCTACATGATTATCAAGGATACATACATATATAGTATGCACAAATTAGAAAAATAATGTTCATTATGATATGATCATGCATACATTAGCATATTTTATTTATAACATAGATATAAGTGTTGTAAACATAATATACCTGTACAATGCATCCACCAAGTCCTACACCCTCGAAGAATTGATGGAAACACAAAGCCGCCATGAGAGGCTTGATGGTGTCGAGGCTTTCAGAAGTACCTAGTGATATTCCTATGATTACTGAATGAACCACAATACCCATCTCCAACACCTGAACAATAAATCAACAAATAACATTATTTTTAAATTCGGTAGTAAATATAGGTGAATAGATATAGCAATGGGTTAAGTATTGGCGCATAGCGCCTATATGTTGTAGAAACATATACGGAGTACGATGGTAAAATGTACCACTACAGCATAATAGGTGATAGGTAGTAGTTATTCTAGGAGAAAATAATCAACAACAAATGATCACAAAAAGTACCACTACATACATAATAGCACACAAAAAGTACTACTAAGACAACTTGTAATTTAATGGTACATTATACATGTATAATAATGTACAAAAATGTACCACTCTAAAAAAAAATAATAATAATAATAATAAATGTTAACATATGTAGCCAATGTAGGTGCTATGTTCCTTTCAATTGCCTATCAAAGTCGATAGTACTAAAGACAAGTTGAAAGTTATAATGTCCAGTCCTTGAGTACTTTCGGCCTCTCTAATTTCCTTAAATAATTAAACCCACTGCCTACTGACCCTATACTATAACAGTATGACTACATAGTACATATACGTCCTTATTTATTTATTTATTTATTTTTTTATAAATAATTCGCTCATCAATAATTCAATCACAAGAAAGTTCAGTTCGATTTCATCAACAAGTCAACAACAAACTACTAATCAATTATACGAATAATTATTTACACTATGAATCAACTTCGATAAATTATTACAAATAATTATTTACACTGAGTCAATTATAAATTTCTACACTAAAAATCAATACGAGTATTAATAAAGATAAAAATAATGATAATGAATATTAATATTAATATTCATAACATCTCAATCAAATAAAAACGACAAGTATGAAAAAATATGGAATTATCAATTATATCTATATTTTTTCAATAATTCTTTATAGAATCTGTAAAAAAAATCTTTATAGAAATTAAGTTGTTAGTAAATTAACACACAATTAATCTCAACCATGTGCACAAAATATCATGTAATTTAAAATCTCATAGTTGCCGACTTCGATTCCTCCGTTTCCTGCAACTTTTGTGTGGACTTTAACCGATTAATAAAAAATTAATTATACTGATCTGCGTGTAATTAATTATACTGATCTACGTGTAATTTTGTTATGAATTACTGGAGTACATTTATCATTACCCTAAAATTAAAAAAAGAAATTTTTTTTTTACGAAAAAAAAAAGTTCCAATATTATACTACCTCCGTTTCACATTTTTGCAACTTTGAAGGGTGCACGAACTTCTAGACAAAATTTATTTGTGAGTGTAAGATAAAGAGAGAAAAATAAGAATGCATGTGATGAGGAGAGAGAAAGAGAGAAATAACAACCTAAAAAGGAAATAAAACATTAGTTGCAAAATAATGTGTACCATCTATTTTTGGCAAATGTAGCAAAAAATATGAAACAGAGGTAGTATATTATATAGATGGTATATTATATATTATATAGATTCAACTTGATCTTAAACTAACTAATTAATTAAATCAAAAAACAATCACAAAAATATTATAATAATTTTACCTGTGAGGTAACTTTATATCTGATACGATCTAATTCAGTCAACCCTTCAGGGGTAGCACTTGGACCCGGACCATGGGCATGTCCATGAGTAGCATGAGTATGAAGGTGTACATGCCCGGCATGATCACCACTATTCTCTTCATCCACACTCGCCTCCACGGTCGGCTTCCCAAAGTGGACCCTACGATAGTGTCCGGTGGCGAAAGCATCTATCATCAAACTCCCTAGAGCCCCTACCATAGCGGCGAGTCCGGTGAAGGGGAACTTCCCCCACTGACTCTCCTTAAGGCAAGGGCTAGTAAGACTTTCGAACGCGTCGGGTAACACGTGAATAAATCCCGTGGATAAAATTACCCCGGCCGCGAACGTCTTTACTAGGAAAAATAAATTACTCTCGGGGTGTAACGCTGGGAAACTTTTTCCTACTATAGGGAGACATACTCCTAGGGCACTTGCCGCTAGTATAGCGGCAATTGCCCCGAGTTTATATTTTAAGGCCGCGTTGTTACTATTATTGCCCGTAACCTCATCACGTTCACACGTACAATCACCCGCTACCAATGAAATTGGTAAAACAAGGACAATGGAAACCAAAATAACGTAGTAAGATTTCTTGCCTAGTAACATTATTTTCGACTTTTTCGAATCTCGAATGAGGAATTATTTGTTGCTGTTATTGTTTTTTTGGTGTGTGAATAGAAGGTTTATTTGATTCGGATTTCACAACTTTTGTTTTGGGAGTTCTATGTTTCCTAAAAGTTAGTCAAAGAAGATACTAAAAAAGAGTATTATATAGTATAATGTATGTGTTTTTATATGAAATTCATCATTATTGTATGATGGACTAACTTTATATCTATGACTTTTGATCTTAGTTTTGGGATAGTGACATGAGAGTAAGCTTTTTGAGTTTGAAAAGTAAATTAATGAAATAATATAAATAGGAAGTATAAGAGAGCGTAAAACAGGAGTAAGAAATAATGTTCACAAATGTCGCCATTAACTCAATAAACAACAAGATTCTGTTAATTTTCTAAGTACGAATTTGATGTATTTTCTACTAGTCAACATAAGAATGTCGACATTGTGTGTATATTATGTGATAAGATTTTTTTTGTTTTGGAAAGGATAATAGCTGTTAATTGATCAAAATATTCAATGCTAACCTTTAATTTGACAGTTTTTCTTTACGTATATCTTTTCAAGAATTCACTTTTTTTTTTGGAAAAATTCACTATTTTTTTACAATAATAATAATAATAATAATAATAATAATAATAATAATAATAATAATAATAATAATAATAATAATAATAATAATAGCTTTCTATTTAAATTGGTGCAATGAAAAATAGAACAACGCAAAAGCAATTTTATTTAAAAACTGAATTTCACAAAAAAAAAAAAAAAAAAAAAAAAAAAAAAAAAAAAAAACTCCTCTTTTCCAAATAAATAAATAAACCTTCCCTTCAAAAAAAAAAAAAAAAGAAACCTTTTGCAGTTGAATACTTGAATGACATATTGATATGTATCAATAATTAATTCTCGTATATGAATAGTGTTAAACTTAGGTCTTGTTCACATTTACTTAATTTCATCAGTTCAGTTCAACTCTTATCAGTTCAATTCAGTTCAATTCAACTCCAATCAATTTTGTTCAATTCTCAATTTCCCTCTCTCATAAAATATTCATTTCAGCTCAGTTCAGTCAGCTCCAATCAGTTCAGTAAATGTGAACAGGTCCTTAGGCTGTTATGACTATTTAGGAATTAGAAATAGAATATACAACTTAGGCTCAGCTCTCTTGACCTTAAAAAAATTATTAAGTAAAAATAATTTCAGTTCAATAAAAATAAGTTTAATTCAGTAAAAATAATTTCAGTTCAGTAAAAATCAGCTTTATTATACTTTTATTTTAGTTCAATAAAAAGAATTATAATAGAAAATCAGCAAAAATTATTTTAGTTCGGTAAAATTAATTCAAGTTCAGCAAATATAATTTTGTTTCTCTAAAAATAATTCAGTTCAGCACAAATAAGGTGAAGAGAACAGGGCCTTATTCCGTAAGTCCGTAGTGTAGAATATGGTGTATCTACACCTTTTTTTTTTTTTTTGAAGACTGTTACAATATTACAATATTAGGCAGGGGCGGATCTATTAAGGTGCACAGTGAGTCACGTGACTCACCAGCACAAAAAAAAAAAAAAAAAAAAAAAAAAAAAAAAAAAAAAAAAACTAAGAGACCGCCTATTACAGATAGGGGGTCTCTTTGTTGCTTCTATTTGAGATTAGCCCTTTTTAAAGTATCAAAGAGACCGCCTATTAAAATATCAGATAGGTGGTCTCTTTGTTGTTGCTATTGCCACCAAGTCATTAGAGACCTGTTATCCAGATAGATAACAGGTCTCTTTTTGTCAGCCTAGAATCATTTTTTGCCATTAAAGAGCCCTGTTATATATAATAACCGGTCTCTTAAGTTATCTAACTTTTTTTAAAAATAATTCTTGTTTTTAAGTAAAAAAAAATCATAAAGTTAGTTTAATGTAATAGTTTTATAGTATGTATTTTTATATCCTATTTTTAGATTGAAATCATTTTAGTGAAATATAATTTTTTTTTTTTATATATAATTTTTGGATTGAAACAAGTTATCAATTATTGATGGTGACTCATAAGTTCAAAAATCCTGGATCCGCCACTGTACTTAGGTACACTGTAATTGTCATGGGAACATAAATTGGTCAAAAAATGTGTGGTGTTAGCTCGGTTGCCTGATGTATCCTAGGACCAAGGAGATTGGTGACTTTGATGCATACTTGGGAAGAAAATTTGCAGATGACATAAAGCTAACAAGAAAAATTACTAATGACTAAGGGCCCGTTCTATTCACCTTAATTTTGCTGAATTGAAATTATTTTTACTGAATTGAAATTATTTTTGCTGAACTTAAATTATTTTTACTGAACTGAAATTATTTTTGCTGAACTGAAATTATTTTTACTGATTTTCTATTATAATTCTTCTTTAAGAAAACTGAATTTTACTGAACTGAAATTATTTTTATTGAACTGAACTTATTTTTACTGAACTAAATTATTTTTACTGAACTGAAATTATTTTTACTTAATATTATTTTTTTAAGGTGAAGAGAACAAAGCCTAAATATGTAATGCAACTCCCTACACATGCACAGTCCACGTTATTGAAAATGTTTTAGTCGACCTGACTACGTGATCTAAGGAAAGAAAAGGTCCGCTTGCACGGACGATTTCAATCATCGGATCGTCTAGGGTATCCTTCCTTTCTATCCATATTCAAGGTAGCCAGCTCTTTTGTGTTAGGTTTCATGTTCGGGAATAAGGCTTGTTTCGATCACATCAGATCAACCCTCGACGATATGGAGGACGAGGTAATTGCAAGATACTCCGTCCTTCCTTATGATAATAAGCTATTGCATTCATTCATTATGTCTAGTTGCAGTGTTGCACCCACGTTATACTAATACTAATACTAATTTGTTACAGATAAAAAGACCATATTTTTACATTATCATTATTAAATATATATATGCAGAGCCAACATAAAAAACGGTCAACACCAATCCTAACTAGAAAATAAAATTTATATAAAATATACCGTTAAAATATGACTTGAATCAATTAGTCGGGATGTTTGAGTAATTTCATTTATGAGCTATGGTTTTCTATAACCTAGACCTATTTCTTTTTACTACGTGTAATTTTTTTTAATTTTATTTCTTGACAGGTACTCCGTAAAATTTAAGTGTATTTTGTAAACTTTTTTTATTATTACGTAGTACTGTATTATTTTTGACAAGACTATATAAGCCTATTTCCACAGCTAGAAATAATTTACACTTTAATCTTGCTTATCTGTGGACATATAGCCACAAAGCTAACTCATGTTTAATGATGAACCACATAAAATTAGTGTTCTATACATTAGGAATTCCCCCCTTGTGAGGAGAGCTTCCTAACATTTATTCTTCTTACCTTTTCAAAAAAAATAAAATCGTGTCCTTGTTTGTTAATGTTTTTAAAAAGATTTTACTTGCATCCGTTACAGCTAGCATGTACTCCAAATTAAACATTATTACTGGTATATGCATCAAGAAAAAGAGCAATATGTATAAAAATTACCTGTGAAGTGACTCTATATCTGACTTGTTCCGCTTTACTTAGACCTTGAGGGACAACACTAGTTGAGCCATGAACATGGTGGTGAGCATCCTTAGCCTCCTCATCCGCGGCATTGTGATCATCAAGGCCATGAGCCTTACGAAAATGGCGCATAGCAATGGAGTCCATCATCAAAGTCAGAATAGCCCCACCCATGGCGGCGAGGCCAGTGATGGGAAAACTAGCCCACGGTGAATCTTCACCGAGACATGGGCTAGTTAGGTTCTCAAAGGACTCGGGTAAGATATGGATGAACGCGGTACATAGGATGACACCTGCCGCAAATGCCTTTACTAGGAAGAATCCACCCTTACTAGGGTGAAGCGCTGGGATGTTTTTCCCCACTATGGGGAGAAAAACTCCTAGCGCACTCGCAACTAATATGACAACAATTGATCCAATTTTATAATGTAAGACACTTTTATCGACGACTTCTCCTGCATGCTCGTCTTTGTCTTCTCTTAGACAGGTACATTCCTTTTTCTTCTCGGTGCTATGGCCAGCGACGAGGTTGAAGGTGGCGGAGAGCAAGAAGAGGGAGAGAATGATGAGAGCAATGTGAGATGGTTTTGACACCATGGTTAGTTGTTTGAGGGAGCTTTTGAGATTTGTCAACGTTTGTACCTTTTAATTATGTTGAGATCAATGAGGGAAATAATGATTGTCATTATTGTCACCTTTTTATATTGGATTTTGAATGAGACAATGAGACATAAATTATGTTAATCTACGTACTTGAATATGATAACATGTATTGTTTTATTTGTTTAATTATTTCCACCCTTTCTATTTAGGTGACACGTTTAATTTTAGGCATACCTAATTAAGAAGGAGAGAGAACGATAAAACTATTTAGGTGACACGTTTAATTTTAGGCATACCTAATTAAGAAGGAGAGAGAATGATAAAACATGCAAGTAGTGTACGCTAGTAAATGCAAGGTATAAAACTCACTCAAAAAGAAAATGCATCGACTAAAACTTCCTAAAAAAAAATATGTATCGACTAAAAAAACGGATGTAAGAATTTTATAGGATATAATCAATTAGCATGAAAAAAAAAAGTAATAAAAAAAATAATCTCACTATTGCAGCTATATCCTATATGGCTTCAACTTAGGGCATGTTCTCTTCCGTTGAAATTCAGTTCAGTTCAGTTCAGCTCAGCTCTTAATTTACGTCTAATGATATTGCTAATGATATAAAGCCAAATTTCATTTTTTTAAGCTCTTATTACAACGACGACGACGACGACGACAACAACAACAACAACAACAACAACAACAACAACAACAACAACAACAACAACAACAACAACAACAACAACAACAACAACAACAACAACAACAACAACAACAACAACAACAACAACAACAACAACAACAACAACAATAATAATAATAATCAATAAGTAATAAATAATAAATAATAATAATAATAATAATCATCAATAAATAATAATAATAATAACAATAACAATAATAATTGAAATAATACTAATAATAATAATAATCAATAAATAATAATAATAATCATCAATAAATAATAATAATAATAATAATAATCAATAAATAATAATAATAATAATAATAATCAATAATTAATAATAATAATAATATTAATAATAATATGTACATTTGTATATACACATATGTATAGTAATAAGTAATCAATAAATAATCAAAAATTACTAATCCGTAGTTAAAAATCACTAATTAATAAGTTCAGTTCAGTTCAGTTCAGTTCAGCTGAGTTCAGTCAATCGGAACAGGCCCTGAAATTTGATGTCCATTCAATACGATGTAATGTCGTGTATGTTCATGTGTAAAATTGAATAACAACTACTCAATGCAAAGTTAAATTAAATATTCCTTAACTCAGAATATCTTAACAAATTCAAAAAATAGTACAACGCAATTGTTACTTTTTACAGAAAGTTTGCAGGTGTGACCATGTCTTTATGCACCATTGATAGCAAACAACGACCATGATCACACGACTTTAGTTGTCATTGAAGCCAGTTAATTTGTTATGTCACATGTACTTTGGAGTATACAGATTTTTCACGAAAAAATAGCTTAAAATATTTCAAAAGTTTGATGTTATACTCCGTATCTTTTAAGCATAAGCCATATTGGATTGAAAGTAAGGGATAACTCAAGTGGTTAGAGTCCTTCCCTTCCGATTTTAGGAGATTCTGGAATTGATTCTCACCCTTGTAAAAAAAATGTCATATTGGATTTAATTGGTTAAATCACTCGGAGCCTTTTCTATTCTAGTTAAATCATGTTATCTAATTATACAAGTTTTAAGTACATTTTGATTTTGAAATAACTAGGTTATTTCTAATTGGGTCAATTTTGTTAGGAATAGAATAGGGCTTTTTAGCTTACTTTAAATCTATTTCCAAGGAAGAAAATTGAGTTAAAAACAAATTAAGGTCATGGATTTTCAATTCATCAAAAGTTCAAAACCATTGAACCTTGTATCTCTAGACGGAGGAGAGTAAACTAGTGGCCTAGTAATAGCTAAACCATTGAATGCTCGCTCTTTTTTTTTTTTTTTTTTTTGCCATATACATTTAATTAATAATTTAGTATACATCTAGAAATAGAAGTTCAGCCTGGTAACATTAAAAATTTTGGTATTCAACTTAAAATAGAGGAACCGTACACATAAAATCTAAATCACACACATCTTAAATAATTTATTTTTAAAACTATATACTCCGTACTTAACTTTTTAAAATTAATTAAAGGCTTACGACATCTAACATATAGTTCAAAATCTAACTTTCTGCGCGCAGATAGAACTTTTTGTGTAGTTTTGATATACGAGTAGATCCAACTGAGTACTTGTTGATAAATGTACACCAATAATTACAAAATCATAAGGATGAAAGTCACATAAACAAAGTAGGAGTATTAAATTGCGAGAAAGTACACGAGTACGCTTCTTACAAATCTCGAAAAACCAGAAACCGGCAAAACCAAACATAGGAATTATGAAGTGGTCCATATTCTGTGTTTATTCGACTACCCAAAAGAGAGCTAGAGTGTCGAAAGAATGTCGTCATTTGATTAATAAATACGGAGTAAATTATTTATATTAGGCCGTCTAATTAGCTCAAATCGATTATGGTTTTATTTTTTCAATCTCATTTTATATAATACTACTAATACGAAGTACTACGTATAAATGTATAATGCAACAGCACTCCAGCTAATTGATAATCTATACATTCAATAATCTCATAGCCATTTTTCAATTAGCTAGTTGTCTTGTATCATTATTTCTTAGGATTAAAAAAAATATTGTTTTTGTTTTGTATTTATCCGTTTATGTATGTATTGTCTATGTTATAACCTTTTGGTTTCTATTTTAATTGGATAAATATGTATATATCTTTTGCATTTACGCGTAACTGTATATATAGATGACTTTTTCCTATAAGCGACAGAATCAACTGCATATGTACAACTAGCTAGGTATACAAGTAACAAGTAAGTAAGATTAAAAATTAAAAATAAAGACCGGACTTCTTCTTTTGACTACAAAGTTATCATTTCCTTTTGCTTCTTTTACCTTTTGGGATTTTAATTTAAACGTTAAACCTTTTGCTATGGGAATTTTAAATCAGCGACTTAAGATTTTAACTTTAAATGTTGATCAATAATTAAACTTATATAATTTTACAGTGTTGACTAACAATTAAATTTACAAAATTTTACATAGCATATCTTAAAAGTTCAATTTGCGTGGTATACATATACCATGGATTAGGTAATGATTTGTTGATTTTTATAGTAATTATGGTACATCATCATTAATCTCCCTGGGATTTGCCTGACGTATTCCCTCTCTTTCCAAAAAGGAAAATACGATTAAGTTTTACTGTATGATAATCACAATTACAAGATGGGACGAGTCAAGTTTAATAGTTTATCACAAATTAAAAAAATACATATGACATAATACTGTTTAAAATCAACAAATTATATTAATAATAATAGACTGTTTTTAATCTGGAAAAGAATAAAATAAGTGGTCCAAAATTCGGAGTTTGACTAGCCAAAACAAGTGAAGTATGTTCACATAATGTCGTCATTTCATCAATTAAACATGTATTTCTTCTTTATAATTACCTTTTTTTCGTTTTTATATTCGATAAGTCAACATTTATGTCGATAGAATGACTTATAATTGTATATGTCAATGTTTGTCCTTGTGAATATTGTTGCAAACTAATAAAAGATTGAAATATCCGTGTGAGCAAGCATTGAATGGTTAATAGTGTTATTTTTACAAAAACAATCATTGTTTATTTTTACAAAAATAATTATTGTTTATTTTTTTTATTGGTGATTAGTGATAGGAATGTAGTTGTAATCTTGTTATAATATTGGTTTTCTTTTGCTTTTGAATCGTGTTATGCTATCTACATAACTTTTCTTTTTGGTTCAGAAGAGATGTCTTTGTCATATACAACTGGTTATACGATTGACTCTCTCATAATAGTGACAGAATCAAACACGCTAAGTCGCTAACAATCATCAAACTAAAAAATAACAATAAATAGTAAATAGTCATGTATGACTTTTTCTTGATATTTTTTGGAGACTTTTTTTTTTTGTGTTATAAGTCTGACTTTAAAACAACTTTATAATATCTTATCAGTACAATCAACTATTATCATTATCTTTTCTTGTTTGCGTGCTTGCTATTTAAAAATATAACATAGCTATCTCCTAAACCTATAATATCTTTTGATAGACTTTGCTAGGTAGATCTATACTTCAAAATCTACCCAATATCAATAGTAAAAACTAAAAAGTAAACTCCTTGCTTTCTTTTTATTAAACCTCCATGAACCCTACCTAGCTTGAAGTGAAATCCATGGATTTCTTGTCATTTGAGGCTTCAAATCCTCTTTTAGACATGATGAACTACTTCTTGCTCAGTTGTGTCTCCGATTCGCCATTATTATTCGACAGAGGTAAGCTTTTTATTACAAGAAAAGCACATAAACACACCAAAAGAGTTTGATACTAACCTGGGTAAGATGCAATCATCCAATCAGCTGAAAGAGTTTTTCTAGCATATGGCTTCACACAATCACACCCATTATTCACTATATTCCTTCCACCAAGTAGTGGAAGCAGAAGCTTCACGATCATCAAGCTTCAATCAAGAATGCTACTTAACTAACCTTAACAAGGCCGGTACCCTGAATGTCCCAAGGACTGCCACCCATTTCCGAGGATTGACCAACAGGTCGACTCCACCCGTGGACATACGTTGTTGAGCATCATGGACGCATTCTTAGAGTATCATTGTATACCCGAGAAGTTACTCGAGTCACTCAGTCAGGGATTACTTGATCAGGGGTTAAACTGAGTAACCCCTAACCGAATAACCCCTAGCAACTCTAATAATCTCTAACCGAGTAATTCGAGTAATCCACGCAATGTGGCCAGTCATATTGAAAAAAACCCTTTATTTTACTGGTGGAAATAGGTTATTTATTGGTGTTAATCTCTCACGCGTATGCTAAGTTTTGGCACCAGTACAGTGGAATATAAGCTCACTTCTCTTTAACTCTGGTCTCCAAATAAGTAGTAAAAGAAGGATTTTAAAAAACAGAGAATTTGTTTCGTATTTTAAAGTATTAACGGTTGGTTCTATCATACGTAGTACAAACTAGCTAGCCTAGATTTTTGTTTTATCACAGTTAGGTACTTAGGTTGCTTCTATTGTACATTTGTACATATAGAGAACACTAGCCCATATGCTATATCTTTCTCTAAATCAAAAACCAAGACTGATCCTCCTTTACATATAACCCTAACGATTAATATCTTTTTCAAATTATTTCATTCGAGTCTTCATCCAAAATTAATAGAAGAGGAATAATGAACTCAACTGTTAGTCTGTTATAAATGAACAAAACAATATCATAGATTATGTGACAACTAATTTTGAATAGGAAGTAAAAGTTTTTAGGATGGTTAATGCCAATCGATCACAATACTTATCAGTTATAACCCATTATACGAGGTGAAAATTATCAATGCCCACATGAAATTCAATGAAATGCTTGATTTGGACCTATAGATATAGAGCCTAGCTGCTTTAGACCAAGAAAGGAAGAACTTCTTACCTCC